GACGCATTTTATCCAGTCGAGGCCATTCTCTTCAATAAATTCATTCAGAAGCTGAAATATGTGCTCTCCTGTAGTTCCTGTTGGTAGCGGTTTACAAAACAGAAAGTCTTCATGGGACATACCTTCAAACTCGTATCTAACGTAAATGAGCAAATTGGCCAAATCGACTATAGACTCATCTAATTGCAGTGAAAAACATCTGCTCATCTTAACGTGCTCTATCAGTGTACTTTTGATATAATCCTTCATTTCAATAATTCTATGAATGACTGTGTCTTTCGGGGGGAGGGGGGCAGCAGGTCGAGCTGTTTAGCAGCTTTTTCTCTACACATAATACGTGTCAGCTCTTTTGCCAACGGTAAATAAGGTTCTTCAAAAATAGTGTAGCTTACCTGCTTTAGCAATCCGCAAGCTTGCATTTTTCCGCATTTCCGTTTTTATTTCCGTATTTAAAGTTTTTATTTCATGCGCATGGGAGCGAAACACAGAGACGCTCTGTGTATTTTTCTCAAATCAGAACAGTTCTTAAATATTTTTCTGTTATCACGCTTTCGTGTGCTCACAAGATTACCTGCGTTCGTAGCACGTATTTCTATGCATTCCTGTGTTTACAATGTTGGCATTGTTCCAACATCACGCACATTCTCCTTTCTCCCTATTTGCTGGAGATACAGTAGCTTTTTTTAAATACAATTGGTCACTTGCATCCGTAGCACGCATTCCTATAGAGTGGTATAGAATTACAGAGTATCTCTTGTGTCCACTGAAGTATTAGTGTGCACTGTATCGTAGTACGTAGGCTGCGTATTCGACACGTATTAAAATACAAAATATGAAAACCCGTCCCGATTTTTCAGCAACATGATACCGTTCCAGGGTCATTTGGCGTACCACCTGGCGGCACTCCACGTACCACTGCCGGTACGCGTACCACAGTTTGAGAACCACTGCTCTAGATATTTGGAGTTATCACAGGTCTAGGAATCACATACAGTACCTGGGGAGGTCTGAGCTTTCCCTTTGGTGAGAGCTGTCACACAGGCTACAGCTGCTTTCTTCATTCAGGAGTGAAGACATTTTCTTCCCTAGTGGCTGTTCATCATCTGAGTGTGGGAGGAAGGAAATTATGACACACTGGTTATATTTCTTCCTCACAATGTAATAAAATCGAAAAAGCATAACATTTAACATCTTCATTTATTTATGCAGCAGAACAGAAAATTACCAAGAACGTGTTCAGTAATGAAGAGAACAATTTACCTCAAAAACATACAGGATAATCAGAGGGGTTAATTCTTACACAGATAATAATTTAAGGCTCCTGAAGGAGGAGGAGAAATATAGTAAGCTAAACTTTCAAAACAGTTCTTAACATCTATATAATTCTTAAGGCTGTGACTGTAATAAAGTGAACTTTAGTCAAGGTGCGTACCACTGTGATTGTCCTTTCTCAGAGAATCTGCCCCCGGCAGGGACGCTCTAGCCAAAGCAGCAAGATGAGCAACGAAGGTCTCTTCTGCTTCCTGTCAAACAAGTCATTAAAGAAAGAGAAAGGTATGCTTCTGAATCTCTGCTTAAACATTTTGAGTGACTTTAAAGTACCAAATGACTGCCAATCTTTTCTGTCATAAAACCTTAAATCTAGCCTATTAAAGGGCCTTTGTAATTCGACAAAAGAGGCAGAAATAATGGGAATTTTATGAAGTAAACTGCTACATCAAGAGCTCAAGGAAAATAAATAAATATCTGTATCATCATACCAGTACAATGACATGGACTATACATTATATTTATCATTATCCAAAACTGTAATTTAGGTTCCATCTACAGTATCTATTCTCAAAACCCCTGACCCTTGGAATTAGTTTGCTCACTCTTCTCCCCACCTTTGTTACATTTCCATCCATGTTTTCTTGCTGAGGAAGCAATAAGTGTACTATATGATACAGAGCATCAAAAGAAATGTATCACTCTAATGTTTCATGTACTGTATGGTTTCAGAAAAAATGTAAAGATTTTGTATATTAATTAAGTGTTTTTGGTGGCATTTCATATCATTGAGTGACTTTAAATGCTACATAAGCACTAAATCAGGGAGACAGTTGATTGGGAACAGGAAGGTTTAACCCATTCAATGCCAAGCCTAGTGTAAACACAGAAAGGAAGCAATATGGTCTCCTAATCAAAAGGACCATGTGCCATCAGTATGTTGGAGGCTTAGAGTAGGCCATGACATGCTAGACATAACACCTCTCTCAGACATCATCAGATCATCATCAGATAATTGTTATGCTTGGGCAGGATTGTATAGTCAACTTGTCGTTAATGATGGCAACCTTACTGCACAGCACTCCATTGCTCATTTTCATTTCCATTTAACCTCACGTGCTGCCCTTCCTGTGGGCTTGCGTGTCCTGCCGTCCTTCATGTTGCGCTAGTACCAAAGGATTTCTTGCAAAATTAGAAGAATTATACTGCAGATGCCCTGCGTGCTAGGTCATTTCTGTGCAATAAAATGTCTGCACCTACTACAAAAGATGATCATTTTTCTGATATATTAAAACTGCATCAGTCTTTTGATATGTACGGATATGCAATTAGTTGTTGTATTAAGTTGTACTGTATAATTTCAACATAAACATCTTTGATTTGCACTGTACATCTTTGTGCTGTGAATCTTTGTGTACTGTATTAACACATAAAATATCTGAAAATTACATGATCTCTCTATATTTTGGAGATGGTGACCGAGATTAACATTTTGCAACACTAAAATTCTTTCACCACTGATCACTTTATAATTCTAGGTTTGGCTGTTTAAAACTTTTCCACAAAATGTGTACCTTAACCTTACCACTTATTTTATCATTTTGAATTTCTAACGTTAATAACTGCTGCTGGCTTACTATATACTGTATACCTAAGTCTGAAATAGTTGCCAATTAACTTCTCTCCATACGTACAGTACATTGATACATTTGGATCTTGTCTTTCACATACTGTAATTCAGGCCCTATCTGAGATCCCTAACACATGACGACCCACAACAGAAATGCTGGCAATCTGTTGATACTTGCTTTACCTGAAGTTTTCCACAAAGGTGTTTCTCCATATGATCAAGAACAGACTTCTTTTGCCGTAATATCTCAAAAGCTGAATCAAGGTCCGAGTCATACTGAGTTAACATTTTCTTCTTTTGAATTTCAACTCTGCAGTGGGGAAGGAAGAGGATGCCGAGTCATTTACAAATCACAACGATAAAGACAGAAATCAGATCTCCAAGTATTCACCTTTGACTGAAATTGCTGGAAGGTTCATCTTAGGTCCTTGATAACAATTACCAGCCTATCAATGTTTTTTTTTTTCATGACAGGGCCAGAATTTGACAAAAAACATTAAACATTTGGTACTGTTGTGAAGTGAAATTTGCACAAAATTTAATTATAAAATTGAAAAGGATATTTTTAAAACTGTAGGAAGACATTTTACATTGTAAAGAATGAACTACAGTATGCTTTGAATGTGAGCAAACAATTGATGCTTATTTATAATACACTGCCTTCAAAAAAAGAAACTGTGAAAAAGCATTACTGAACGAGTGAATGTACTTCTTCGGCTAATCCATCTGTCTTTTGTCAGTTTTATTACATCTGAACATCCTTAATGTGTCCTATAAATGATGTTGTGGTTTGCCTTGTTAAGTGCACAGATGGAGTTTTTGTGACTTCTTAAGTGGTTTGCAACAGCTTTCTGGGCTATTCCAGTTTGAGGCACACCCAGAGCTTGATTACACTCATCACTGAATTACTGTGGCACCATTATATATGGAACAGACGCTTTTCTGTTTGGAATGTACAGTATAGTTGTTCAACGTGGCTTCTAAAACATCATGCAGTCAATACAAGTGTTCCAATGAATAAATGAAAAAAAAAGGTATGTGCAAGATTTGTTATACAATTGCCACAGATTATTTTTGGGTCAATATATGATCTACAGTAGAATGTGTGCCTTCATCACTGAGAAAGAAAGACCTGTAATTTTTCAGCCATTAAAAACATTAGTTATAAATGAGATTTCACTTGGAAAAATGTATATTATTACTTATTGTACCTCTGATAAAACTCAGTTGAAGTAGGCTTTTTACTCCAGTTGGCAAGCTCCTTTTGAAGACATTTTCTTAGGTCGATTTGATTTTTTATATTGTCATGTGTATCTAAAATAAAGAAAGATTAACTGAAAAGCAACTCTAAAGATGAAATCATTAAACTAAAAATAAACTTCAAACCAGTGTTATAGGTCAAATTAAGTATCACTTTTTGTTACACTGACATTTTCTTATTTCCTTTCCATAACACAATATACAAAAGTATAGTACAGAAAAGCATTCTGAATTAATCTTAAAACTCTTTTTATCTGCAGTATATACCGTACTGTGTATATATAATTAATTCTTGCACATTTTTCTCTGACCCATTCCAAATCAAGACTGTAAATGTCCCCAAAGAACATGACAGTCAATATTTGTTGCACATATTTATTAGCACTTATTTAAATTGACATTTATTGGAAGAATATACTGCCTCCAAGGTTATTACTGTACTAATACTACTGGAGAAACCAATATCTCCACACTTATTACAAGTATGAATATACCTCAGGGCTGGATTAAATCCAATTGTGAATGTCAACTTGAATTTCTGTCCCTGACAGTATTAATTTTGAAAATCTTGAATCTTGTTATAAGGGAAAAATGTAAAACTTCATAATATTGCAAATTTGACTTCTTTATCATTGCTTATCTTTTGAAATTGTATTACACAAGTGCCTGTGCAGCCCAAAAGGAATTAATTTACCATTAAAAAGATTACAATATAAAGAAGCTAGAATGGTGAGCTACAGTACAAAGGGTCAACCAGAGGTTTGAGGAACAAACAGAGGTTTGTTCCATGATGAAAAGCAAAGATATAAAATATAAAAAAACTTTCAGCTGCGGAGCCTTCTTCTGGTGCGACTCCTTAGTTTTTACTTTTCAGTGTGAAATTAATGTGTACTTGTTCGTTAACAAAGGTTTGGTTTAAATGAAACACTGATACTAAGATCTACAGTATGAGCAAAGATTTTGGTTTGACTGCAAGACAGCAAAATGGGAGACCTGTCAAGAGAAATGATTTTAAAAAGATCCAGATATTATATGACATAAGGATATCAGGAAACTAAAAAGAAATTACCTCCTATACACTGGAGACGCTGTTGTCTCTCCTGCTCCAAGGCTTCCGTGACATTCTGTATCTGCGCGTAGTATTTACGGATGATTGTACTAACAGACTCTCTGGTCACGTATACACTCTCTGTAGCAGCCTCTGTTAACTGATGCTACAAAAATACAATTACTGTACATTGACCAATGCTTACTTAAAGGTCTTAAAGTTCATAAGAAAAGTCATTCAAAAGTAGGAAATGCTAACTATATGACTGAACCTTGTTTCATCTGGGAATGACTCACAGAAACAGCATACTTATTTATAGCATTTGTAATGCTTTCTGGAGCTGTTCTGAAACAAATAAACAAATTGTACAAAGCATAAACAAAGTAAAAAACTAGCACTGGCAGCATTTAAAGACTATGCTTCCATACATTTAACATTGAGTTGCAGCAACATTTTTTCTGAAATTGTGTATATAACAGCAAGTATCCGACTGCAGTGACAGAGGACATCCTCCGATACAAAACCGGATAATTTCATTTTAATCTGCAATTAATTTCCACCATTAGATGTAGCAAATTGTAAATGACTCGCACCTGAGAACAGTAATTACCTAGGGAAGAAAAAAAAACTTTTTAAACATTAGATCTTCATTTGTAATCGAGAGCTGAAGGAAAATATGTAAACACAAAGGACTCTTCTCAATCAAGGTTCTGTACAGTGTATTAACAAAAAAACAAAGGGTTTGTTCAGTATGAAAACATGAAAAGTGAAAGTGCCAAAGAAGGGAAATCTGAGAAAGTGTAGTTCTTTGGGTCATGCAAAATAAAAGTTTTTTACTGTATTTGCCAGTGACAACCTTCATGTCAAAATGGTATAATTAGCCTTACTATTACCAAACATTGACAAATTTTAGACTGGATAATTAAACTTGACTAAATTGTGCACAAACACTTTCACAGTGTTGAAGATCCTTTATCACAATCACTGAAAAAAAAGCTTACTTGAAAATAACTGAAACTGAAAAAGCAGAAGATCTCAGATTGAAATTTATACAATTTTAATAAGACTATTAATTTAAAGTGATAATTGCTGGTCACAAATATTATAAGGAGAAAATCTGAAAAAAAAATCTTAATTTGCGTATTTAACACTAATGATTTTAAGATCAGCAGTATTAAAGTAACAAATAAATTACAAATCCCAACAAAGATACCAGTCATTTTTGTCCCAGAACTGAAAATGGTAAAAATAGGTAGGATGGTGGCACAGTGGTTAACGTTGGAGTCAATTCTGGACCTGGAGTGCTGTCTGTATGGAGTATGCGTGTTCTCCGCATTTGACTGGGTTCCTTTTCAAAACTCCAGTTTCCTCTCACAGTCCAAATATATGTTCAGTGTCTTCTGGGAAAATCGGCCCTGTGTGAGTGTGTCTGTGTGTACCCCGACTAGCATCCAATCCAGGGCGTATTCTGCCTTAAACCCGTTGCTTGCCAGGATAACCTCCAGCATCCCTGTGCCCCTGAGTTGGATTAAGCTGTTAGAACATGCAAAAGGGTAAAATTCTGAATTCCTTATAATTTGTTTCTTAAGTAACAACTGACATTACATGCTGCTAAACAGCAGGCCTCTTCAGTAAGAAAGCCCTGCCGATAAGAAGGCAAGCCTCTGTATTTTGAGACGATTGCTGGTGTTTAATGCTAAGGAACTAGTTTACTAACAATATTATGTGGAAGAGAAAAGACTACCTTCCAATGTTCATTTTCCTGAAGATCTTGGGGGGCCGCCTGCTGGCGTGCGTTCTGAGCCAGGGTGTGGCCGATCACGAGTGCTGTGTGCTCCTGGATCAGTTCTGCTGCTGCGGAGAGCTCAGAGAGGAACTCCTGCTGAAACTCCAGTCGGATCAGCTGGCTTTCCTGCACCAGTCGCCTCTCTGCCTCAGACCCGACGCTTTCCTTCGAAAGATGGAGAGGAGAAGGAGACGGTGTTTACGAGCCTAACTAGGGCTGCTCGGCACCACATTCCAGGATGCTGCTGCAGTCAGCTGACTGATCGCTCTGTGGAATTACCACTCGTTTCGGTCATTTGTAAACAACCAGATAGATGCTGTAGCTTATTTTGGCACTTTTGTACTGAAATCTATGAGACAGTACAGTCCGTAGTTGGCTTACTCTAAACCACTTAAAACCTCACAACACACATACCACATTTTTCCTTTGTTTTGACACACATTAATATGACAACTCAACACAAAAATATATATGAAGCAGTACTACCTTAGACGGACCCTTTGGTACATTAAAGTGTTGCTTGACGCAGTCCTCTGTTTCCAGTCCTTTTGTGAACTCCAGCCTGGTTTCATTCAGCAAGGTCTTCAACTTTGACAGCCTCATTTCTTTCAGTACCCTCAATCTGAACTGTCTTGCAGCAAATTGTCTATTAACTGCTCTCAGCAATAGCAAGTGCTTCATTTCAATCAATTCCTCTGTGCTATCAGGAGTACAGAAAAAACAGAAACAGAAATGAATCATTCATACTAACACAATCAATCTTTGAGATATTGAAACTAATATGTAACAGCTGGCAAACAATCACTTTCACAAAATAATATCTACCTACAACTTGGTAGACATATGACAAGAAAGGGTTGCAAGCATTTCCAAAAAACAAAACTATAAGCACTCCCATAAACTGGGAGAAAAAAGCAGAAATTAAAACATTATTCATGTCAGAATCAGGGATTCAGACATTTTTTGAACAAATTACCAACAATTAACAAGACCACTGATATAATGGCTTCAAGGTCCCTTTAATTGCGCATAAAATTCAAATTCCAGCTATGTGCTCTCATTAAAGCAGTACTTTTCTAAAACAGGGGGCAATTTTAAAACTATATAAAACTATATTGGGTGTGAATTAGTAATATTTTTTTATTTTCTAAGACACGTTATAACAACCACAGGAGGGCTCTCTAGTACTTTTAAACACCACAAAAAAGGAGAACCAATGTAAAATGTTCCTGAGAACAAAATACTCTTTTTTTCAAAAAAAATCACAGAACCTTCATTCCCTTGTAATCTAAAACCTAGCCTGCGTATAACTGCTTTGAGAAAAAAGTGTGGCTGTAAGAGGTTTAGGGAATGTAAAGAATGATGGAGTGACTAGGATGGAGCTGTGCAGAGAGGAAAACTCCTAGTACTGCTGCCTCACAGCACTTGGGAGAAATGTTTCCTCTAAGCTGTGCGCGCACACACAGGTTATGAAATCAGACCACACAGGAAATTGAACTGCGCACAAAAAATTATATTCCCCAAAAATATGATGATAATAAAACAAACACGGTCGTCAATTGAAAAATGCTAAATTGACCACATGAGACTGGCAGCAAGAGGCCCAACTTGGCTGTGTGCATTATTATTGCTACTCGATAATTGATATCTATGCTCTCGTAGTCTCGTACCTCACTGCTCATGCTCGCTCGGCACTCAGTCTCTATGACTGGGCTGGTTAAATCGCTGTCCCGGTCTTTTGGATCTCTATGCTTCTATGAGAATGAGTATATTAACAACTTGAAATTTTGTGCACACAGGCCATTAAAAATAAGAGGGAACATTACTTGGGACCTGGGTTCCATCATGGACTGAAATGCTTTTTTGTGTGGACTTTGCTCATTCTCCCCATGTCCATGCGGATCTTCTAAGTGCTGCCTTTTCTTCTCACCTCCCAGAGACATAGAGGTAAGTTTAACTGGTGTCTCTACATTGCCCCTGTGTGCTTGTACTGTACATGTCTACACACTGCAGAAGACTGACATCGAAGCCAGACAGGAGTCCTATCAACTATTCTACGCTTACAGGACAGGCTCTGGGCTGCCGAGCTTCTCATCAAGTTTTCCCAATAACGAATGAATGGAGACAGACAACCTGACCTGTGGGACATTACCCAAACAAATTCAGCCTTCAAAAGTTACCTTTTTTTTTTACTTTCAATAAGAAATTGACTATTTCAAATACAATTTAAATCTTATACCCCTTGGTTATAATTTTAGACATAATTTCTCATGTGCATGTTATCAATTTCACCTCATCAGCTCTGGCTCAGGAACTGATTCTGCAAATAAACTAGACAGAACGCAGTTCAATAAATGTACATGAGGTACTGTAGTTTGAAGAAATGTGATTGAAATTAAAGTGCCTTTCATGATGACTTTCTATCCTCACCCGTTATGCGGACCCTGTTGCCGAGCCAAAGTCCCATGGAGAAGCTTCTGCTGCTGCTCTGTCAGGTGCTTCAGAGTCACTCTGGCTAGTGCTTCCTCTTCACACCAAGTCTGGATAGACCAATTCAAGGACGAGCAACAAATCAGTCATAGCACTCCTGCACTGCCCGCACATGTTGTCAGTGCCTAAATGATAGGCAGATGTTGCCAAATGGTGGATTCCATGTGAATCTTAGATGTGTTGTGGACTATTGTCTTGATTCTACAATTGTACTGGAACTGCTGAACCAACCGCAGTGTAATTGCTAAATCAAGGCATTTTTCTTTGCTAAAGTATTGTGTGCACTCTTAGCAATACCATACATGAATTTGGGACAACCACTGCGTTCCAGATAATGATGAGACATTTCTCCTCCTTGCGAAAAATATCCGTAAAAATGGTTTGAGGGACACAATAAGAGACTCCAGGTTACTCTAGCATCGCAATCCTGTTTTATACTAAATACGTGAATAAATAATTACTGAATGGTCATTCAGCAAAATTAACTTCGGCACATCTACATATTGACATTAAATCATGTTTTGCATTTCTGTGTAGAGATTAATTTAAAAGGTAATTTTTCATTTAAGCTTTGATCAGGATTAAGCATCAATTATCATGTGACACTGACCATTCACTGTGCTGGACAGAGGCACATCACGAGTCTACTGCTTATGTACTTGGCCACTTAATTCCTGTTACTTTATTGCCCTGTGGTCTCCAAAGTGTTGAAGTTACTGTATGTACCTGCTTCTCTTGCTCCAGATGCTGATTAAGCACTTCCAAATTGTGGTTTGCATGAGCTTCTTCAGTTGGTAAGTGGAGACTCAGATCGTGACTTGCTTCTTGCCTCAGCACATCACATTTATCCAGAGGGAGCTGTGTTTGATTTGGCAGGGCTCCCAGAAATAGCTCCTTCACTATATCCACCATCTTCTGGGAGGCAGAGAAATGTAACTTCTAAATAATAAAAAAAAGATGGAAAGGAAATAAACAACACCGTTACCATTATTTAAAAAAAACAAACTTAAATTCCAAAACTTTTGTATCGATATATTCTTAAATATGCTGACAATACATCCCTAGTTAGCATATTAAAGGACCCAGTATATCATTTTAACTCAATCTACTGTAAATAATTACTAAATGGTGTAATGACGTCTCTTTAAATTAAATGTTTTGAAAACAAATAGACCCCTCATTGACTTTATACAAAAATGCAGCCACCTCCTACACACTATAATAAATGGTCAGACAGTAGAGGTTGCTGATGATTGCAAGTACTTGGGACTGGTCATTAACAAAAACCTAAGGTGGGACAAAAGTTGTGAGATAATTTATAAAATGGCCAGCACAGATGGTTTTTCCTTCGGAAAGCTCAGCTTCTGTAAGGTACACAGAACTCTTTGAACACTTTTCTACAAGTCATTTATTGAAAGTGTTTTGATATATTGTCTTACTGGTTGGTATGGCAGCATCCGTACTGCAAATTGTAATAGTCTGGGGAAAAATAGTGAACACCAGAAACAATATTATTGGTCAATCAGATCAACATAAATGCCCTTTACAGGGGGATGTAGGGAAGGTTAAGAGAGCAGTATGTGATGGAAAATGGAAATCGACAATTAGGAAATTGTTCATCCCCTCTGCAATCTCATTCTTAAATAATTATTTTGTTTCCTGTTGTCTTGAATTATGTTAGTAATGTTTGTTTTTGTTGTGTTGTCATGGTGGACTTTGCAAATTTAACATTGCAAATAATAAAACTTGGATTGAAAAACTAGGAACTAATGGGTCTGAAAATTCAAAGCACAGCTGGAAACTATTCTTTTTTCAGCTCGTCTGTCACCAAAGTGGGTTTATTTTCTTTATACTGTACTTCCCGAACCGAAATACACCTGGACTAATGTGCACTAATTTTGCTTGTGATAAGTGAGGCACACCTTCCACAGGTCACAGACTGCTTCAGTTATCCTCATATCTTGTTTGTCTTCCAGTTCACAGCAGTCTTTCCTCTGTTTCACCAATAAATCGTGGTAAGCCTAAAAAAACAAAATCAATAAAATAAGCAGTATCTCAATACGGGTAGCAGGGTGGTGAAGTGCACTGCAGCACTGGGGCCCTGGGTTCAATTCTGAACCTGGGGTGCTATCTGTGGGGAGTTTGCTTGTTCTCCTCGCGTTTATATGGGTTTCCTCTGGGTGCTCTGCTTTTCCTCCCCTAGCCCAAATACTGGTAGTTTAACTGGCTTCTGGAAACATTGGCCCTGGTGTGAGTGTGTGCATGTGCTGTGTGTGCCCTGTGATGGACTGGCATCCCATCCAGTGTGTTTCCCGCCTTGTACCTGTTGCTTGCTGGAATAGAGTCCCCTGGTCCCATTCCCCATGATCGTGTATTTGATGAAATGGTTATAAGAAATGGGTAGATGATATTTTAATATAACAGAACAATCATTACTTCTACAAAAAAATGGAAAGAAAGCAGTTCAGAACAGTGAATTCTAAATGTATTTGAAAGAGGTCAATTTCATGCTGAAAAGTGAACCTGGATTAAAGTTGACTGTAAAGCACAGTGTTGTGAAGTCTCAGAAACCTGAAGAAGGCACTTCTGCTTTTTTTCTTCTCATCCTGATTTTAACTACTACCTGTTCCTTAGCAGAACACAGCTTTGCACAGCTGCCTTCTCTAACCTTGTTATTTGAAAACAGGTTCTGTTATTTGTTTTGTTTGCAAACCTTACATTTAACAGCAGATAAACCGTACAGTAAATATATTTTCAGCAAATGTAATATTATTAGGTGGTGCAGAATTAAATATGAACGTCAAACAAAATATTGGAAACTCCTTTCATCCGTGGCATTGATGGAAGACTACAGAGAAAGGGAAAATTTCGAACATCCAGTCAAATTTAAACAAGGGAGGCATCTGGAGCACCTAGAGGAAACCCACACAACCACAATGGAGAGAACGAGCTAATGGCACAGCAGGCCTGACTCAACCCAGGACTCAAAACCAACAGGATAAAGAAGAATGTAAATTGTGGAGGATATATTTTTAGAGATACTGTAAATGTTCAGCTTTCATGCCCTGGCTTAACAATACTGGTGCACTGATAATCACAAAATGTGAACCTAAGCACTGGGTTAGAATCTGTAGTTTTATGTAGTTATAACTGTATGAGGTGACAAGAGCATTGTGACTTTTAAGAGCAATGTGACTTTTAAGACCCCAACCTCCTCTATATTCACTCCAGATGTCTTTTCTCAATAGGGGAACAAGTGGAAATGATTTATAAAAAAAAAAGGTAAGAGGGACTCGGTTTGGAGAACATTTTTTTTGTACTGGAGGCTAAAATCCTATGACAATTATACCAATGCTACTGGTCGCAATAGCTCTAGTTAATGCTCTGTTCTGCACTACGCTCTCTACAAACATCAAATCAGTGGAAGACTTTGAGTCTGTTACAAGAGGAAATGGAAATGCTGCAACAAATGACTTTTTCACAGCATCTTTGAATGGGTAATTTTGAATCAAAAACAGACAACCAGAAAAGGAGACCAACCTTTATAAATTCTTTGGGATCTATAATTTGTTGAATGTTGTGCTGAATGCGCTGTCTCTCCTTTGTTTGGATCTTTTTGAGTTTCTTTCTTCTGGTATCAACTTTCTTTGTCATTTCATTGACAAGATCTTTCGTCTGCTTCGCGCACTCTTGGCAATAAAGAAAAATGCAAGCAATAGATTCTGACCAGCAATACAAAGTAAGGAACTAATTCATAACTGACCTGATCAATGATGTCATTGTGTTAAGTCAAGAAATTTAAAGCTTACATCTGAGGACTCATTGCCAATTATATTTTGCCTTTGAAAAACTGAAACTAAAAGTTAAAAATGCAGAACATTCTATGTTTTCCAAATCAGTGGTACATCAATACCAAAACATAGTAGTGGAAGAAAGGCCATATATAAAAGTTCCAGTAAAAACGCAAGAGGCTTTGTGCTGCAGTATAGAAAACATCAAAAGCATTCGCCTTACCATCGGTAGCTTGTTGAACTTCCTCCTTGAATCTGCATTGCAGATCTGAGAGGATTCTCTCCATTTCATGAAAGCTTAATTCTCCATCACTTGTGAGATGCTCCAGGACCTTTGCTGTAAATTTTAATCTAGAGACTGCTTCTTGTTTTAAGAGCCACAACTTTGATTCAAGTGTGCATGTGGTGTATTCCCACCAAGTCACTTTCTCTTGAATATTCTGGAAATTAACAAACAAGTGAGCAAACAGGTATCTCCTTATTAAAAATACAAGCAATAATCCAGATATCATTTAGTCGGTTGTTTTTCCTTCTCTAGATTTGATCCAAATGAATACATTATTTTGCATGTTACATAAAACATCATCATTCAATTGATTGGCTAGGACTGCCACTTTGACCAGAATTTCAAACACATGGTGGAGAGCTAGAACTGTCTCTTGAAAATGCCCCATTACCTATAAATATGATTAATTGATATCCTGTTCCCATCTTTCAATATTTAAAACTCCCCCTTTTAACACAGCATCACTCACACAGCAGCATCTTGGATCTTTCATCCCAGTGGTGGTGGTTTTAATAGCCTCAATGTCCCTCCCTCAGCCATGTAAATTAAAGCCACACTGGTATCTGACGTTGTTCATTTACTAACTAGTCAGTACCACTGGGTTACTCGACAATAATACAAAGTTTTCATTTTGTCAGCTTTTAAAGCAACATTGGAAGTGGATAGCTACAAAAGCTGTAGATACAGAAAAGCCTTTTTTACTTAAAGCTCTGGCAATTACATTTTGATCATTATCAATTAACAAAAAAATAAAATGAAAAGTAGCACTGTGTGGACTAGGTCAATGTTTAATGTACCCTCATGTCTGAATACTGGGACTCATTCAGCAGGTTCTCCATTAGCAGAAGGTTCTCAATTAGACTTCCTGTCATTCTGTCCACCAGATCACTGTGAAGCGAGGACTTGCTCTGTAGGTGTTGGCAGAGGCTTTCAATTTGTCTGTTAAAACCCAGAATCTGCGGTAAAAAGTCATTACATCTCACGATCAAAAAGGTGACAAAGAAATGTACAGTACACTGAAATGAAATTAGCTTTGTTACATCTGCTCAAACTCCATCGTCACAAAGCTCATTTGGGATCACATGTACTGATTTGTTTTAAGAAATGTTTCTAATAAAGGACAAATGGCTCTTCTTCCTCTAACTGGATCAAAACTGAACTGAGAATGGACATGTGTTTAATTGCCAAATGTTAACACATGTAAAAGCTGCACACTAGAATCTAAATTCAAAAGGTAAAAAATAAAGGTGGATAGATACCATTTGGATCTGACACTCCAGTTTGTCTTTTCCATTTCTCTCCATCTCTTCTAGTGTACAATAAGGGGTATCAGGGTCTTCATTTTGTTCAGTATTTGACAGCTTTAATGAAGGGTGTTTTTGCAGTGTATCCAATTCCTGTTCACAATGAGTATGTCACAAAAATCAACTATTATTAAATATAAAATTAAAGGAAGCAAAGATTTAGTACAGGTCTTTTTTCAAATGAAACTTGAAGGAAAATACAAGATTCATGCAGTATTTGTATAAATATTGGCAACACAACTCCAGACCACAATGTTTCAAAAACAATGTGTTTCAAAAAAGTTGGTTTCAGAGAGTTAGGAATAGTGAAGGTATACAGAACAATACTCAAAATAATATTGTCCCGCTCATAAAATCAAAATGTAAAATCAAAAGCACACACTGACTTGATAAATGTTTGAATGACTCAAAGTTACTGTAAATTGGACATCATTATGATATTACTGAGAGTAGCTTCACATTGCTGTAACATTAATAGGTTAATCACTTATACTCAGAAACCATTGTCACCAGTCCTTTTGTCATTGAATTGATACTCACCCTTTCTTGCATTTGAAGACATCTTTTGTGGAAGGCATTGTCAATTACCTCTTTCCGCAACCAAGCATTTAAAAGAATTTGGAGAACTTGAAGGAAAACCTAAAAGAGATGTGTCTTAATTAGTCTGTATAAAAAAGGGGTGTTAAATAACTTTGTAAACACAATTTACAAGAGGGTAGCCCACCCAATGCAACTGAGTTTGCTATATTGTATTGATGGACAAGCTTGCATTTAATAATGGTAATGAACAGTATTCCATTCAATATTTAATATTTTTTTTCTTATTGTGTTCATACTGAAATGGTATTTATTGCCAATGTTATAGACCATGAAGCAGCCACTTAATAAAAAACAGCATGTTTGCCTAAGGAAACATTACTGAGATTAATTACCATGAAGAACATAATTAAGAAATTGTATAAACTGCACTAATTTATACAAGACCGGAGAAAAACAACAAAGCTGGTATTTATCCACCCTTACCATAAATATTCCAATAACATAACGTTATAGCTACTGTACACATATGCAGACTAGTTTTCATAACTTTCTCCATTTTGACACTAGTGATAGAAAATGACACTATATACAGTACTACCTCAGCAGTGTGCAGGATATTTGTTTACGGCAAAAAGGATTACACGACCTTAATACTTTAAAGTCTTAAAAACAATGTGGTAGGTGTCTTCTTCCACATCCCAGACAAAAATGTCTAGCAATTGCAGACTGTTTTATAATATAACGTTGCCTTTGATATCGTGATATTTGGGATTTTCTGATATTGACATTACTTGCTCTCTATGTTTCAAATTAACTTTACAGCCCTGATGTGGGTGAGAGTGGAAAATGTCGGTGATATGACTAATTTGATTTGATTAACATTATGACACATGATTATAATTTCTAACATTCTATAATATTTGAGAAATTACATTGAAGTTATTATTTGAGCTATTTTTGTACAAATATGATATTTAGAGATATGTGGGTAGCATTATTCTATACTAATCATGACATGAGCAGAATACTGTGAAACGTTTGTTACTTGTATTGAAGTGAAACAGACTCCAGCCATAATCCTGAGTTCTCAGCTCTATAGACATTCTACACTACAAAACCTATATTTTCTGCTGTATTTAAGACATGTGTGACAACTCACTTATGAGTAGAGTCAATGAAGAATGAAGCAGATTTCTGGGATTAAGGTATTCATTTTCCAAACAACAACTCAGGACATGTTTAAGAATACTTTGTATAAATGCTAAGATATTAAATTCTGACCATCACAGTCTGGGAAACTAACTATATTACACTCTAATAATTCCTGGAAAATCAAAAAAGCCTAATTACACATACCACATTTTTCTCTTGCCATAGTTCTGTTTCCAGCTGCTCAGACTTTTGAATGCCCAAGCAGTAAAGACTTATCCGGGCATCAAATCTGAAACAACAAAAGATCAATCAAATGCACATTGCTTGAAACAACAGAATCTGTGATTTTATATTACCATATTAAATATTAATGGTGTGGATTTCCCCAGGAGGAACTTCACTGACAGTATACTGTATGAAATGCCTCAAACATCAATTAATTTCATACACTCCTCAAACAGCTGTTGCAAGCATATTAATTTTGTTTTCATGAAAGGATAAATTATATTCTACTGGTGCCTGTGTAATAGCTGTAAAGCTAGTACCAAATAGATAATTGGAATTACTTCATAAGCAAAAGAAAGAACTTTCGATAAATCACACATCTTAACTGGTGTGAGAGAAGTGAAAATTAAGACTTTAGGTTCAATTAATTCATTTATGTTATTGCAATGAAACTTAAAAAAATATGTCTACTAACAGCAGTAGTTAAACTCTGAAGTAAAAAGGCAAACCAGCATATTAAAGAATTAAACCGATTTTAATTACATAATAAATAAGGCCGATGGTGTATTTTTGCATACCCGGTGAAACTCAGTGTTTCTGGAAACCTGTTTACTTTGATGAACTTTTCATTCTGAAATGCCTTAGGCATTGGTGATGAAGATATGAATTGGCCACTATCATCTTCATTGTCTTGACTTAGTGACTCCAGGCTGGATGAGGAGGAATCTTCCTGCATCTGATTGGGCAACATTGGCAGTCTGGTGTTCTCATGCAAAGAAGGGTTAGAGGCTCCATCTGCTAATGGCTGCAATGATGAATACACACAAGTTTGATCAGTCTTGAAGAACAGACTCTGGATACATAACCTGAACATTAGAGAGTAATTACAGACCTTTACACATTAATGAAAATGCTACACCTAAGGCTTCAAGATTTAAAAACACTGATAAAGATATAAACATCTCTGTTTTCCTCACTTTCATTAAAAAAATAGTCTCGCTACCTTTAAAATTTTCAACACTGTTTCGGATTAAACATATCCGATCCTGATAATTTGCATTTTTTAGATGTTTTAACATTATGTTTATTATGAAAATCTGTCTTTCTTTTATATTTTTTCTAATCTTCATATAACTTCCAGAACAATTACACAGTCTGGTTGATATGCCTTCATGTGCATCTCATTTTTTAAATGTGCTGCTTAAAATTATTTTGCATAGTTATTTTGGTGACAAACACAAAAATTCCATTGCCAGGATTACAACACAAAGTAGTTTATTTGGAATGCAGGTTCAAGCCCGGATTATAGTGTTCACAAGTGTGATGGGATTCCCAATTCATCAATTTCCCTTCGGGATCAATAGAGTCTTATCTCTCTCTCTCTCTCAAAGCAGGAAATAGCAGGAAATAGATGACCACTGCATTGCTGTGCAATATGACCAATGGGACTTGCCAGGAGTCTGTGAGCCTGCAGTTAATAGTAAGAGACACGTTTCTATTTCATTATTACATTTGACTATTCTAGCCAATACTCTCCTGCAGGTAGTGTGAAAGTCAACTGTAATCTGGAAAACAGCAGATGACTTTCGTAACCAATCTGTATTTAAGAGAAAAGTGTGAATGGTCCTCAGTCTCTTGAGGTGTTTCAATGATAGATGTAACAAAGCTGGCCATAGATTTTAGGCTTCCGATTAGGGGGTGCTTTATACAAAATAATTTAAAAATCCCAAAGCAGACAGAAGACAATTTTAATTCTATGCAAGAAAAGCACTAATAAGCTTGATGATGTTACTGGGTTGCAACCTTCCATAGGATTAAATGGCTGATTAAAGTCTTATGGGGTTATGTCATAGTATTTTTATTTTCTGTTAATTGAGTAAACGTTTTTTGTTTAGGGTATACATTTTCACCTGTTATTTCAAAGGGTTAATGAAATACATAATAAAAAATGTAAAGATTGCCCAATTCTTTCCGGTTTTACTGGTTCAATTTAAGTATTGCTTTTTACTGTTTTTTTTTTACGCATGAAAGACTATGGCCAGTGTGCCACTTTTTCACGTCTTAAAATAGTAACTGTGTGTATACCAAGTGAAAATCTGACTCCAAGGTTAAGAATAACAGCATGCCCTCTGATTACCTTCATAGCAGGAGAAACTAAAGGACTTGAACAAATAACAGAATGAGTCATCATACTCACTGTGGATGTCGGGGCTGACGTTTTAACATGGTACAATAGGCTGTGTGTGTTTACAGTAGGTGTTTCTTAAAGGGTCTCACATGAAAACAAGATACCCCTGCAAGCAATTCTGCACAATCCTACAAGCTGTTTGCAAAGGAGATGTACAGGATAAGGTTAAGACTTACCCTGTATCGTTGGTTGATTGGATACACAACTTTTGCCTTTAAAGCAAAAGCGGCAACATCACTGTTTAAAGGCAGTTTTCTTTCCTGCATGAACACATACATCAACATAAATGTACACAATCAAGCTAAAATCCCACAGAAATACTGGAGAATGAGCAACGTTTGTCAGCTGTTTCTTTTTTTTCTAATTTCACAGTCCTCACCTTGCTTCGCCATAATATCTTATGCATATACAGTAGACTGATGCTTTCCCTGACAAAATCCCTTTCCTGTTACAGAATAATAATTCAATCAGGGCAAGACATCTTTGTGCTCTTTAATTAGTATTTTTAATGTCTCTGAGAAAACAGTAATTTTCTTACACAGTGCTGCAGGTGTGACTCTCGGAAATGATCAAACAAGATTAATAAACATTAAATTCATTGACAAAAAACATGAAGGAAAAACCAAAACCAACTGTAGACTTGACTCAATGCATAATCTCTTATCTGTAATCTTCCTCATCCTCTAAAATAAGTGGATTTTCTAAATAAAAACTAAATGACTATTGTGATACTGTACATCCTTTCTTCATTGATAATTTGACAAAGATGCAGATAAAATTAAACCGACTAACTGCTCTCATTCTGAGATTCCAAATACTGCCCTTTCACGCAATTTGTCAAAAGGCACAAATAAGAATAGCATTAATTTTCAAGAATCATATTTGTTTGTTATGTATTAATATTACTAAAATAAACTTTTTTTTTATCATGGCCTCAACTAGCTGTCACCGAATACTAATTTGCCTTTGAATTATACTATTGTGTCTTGCTAGCTACACTTTTTATTTTACGATTTGCTGTTTTTTTTTATCTACTGTAAATCTCAATTTGACTAATGAGTTCAGAGTTTTCATTCGGAGAGACGATCATTGAGAAACACAAGCACACGGTTTGTATTTAAAATAGCATCTTCATCCAAAACAAACATCTTTTCACTTGACATTTGTAAGTACTTCTGCTTGTTTTATTTCCGTTTACCTACCTTATCATTCAGGGTGGTATTCTGACATTGCTTCTTTTCGATACTAATACAGTCACTCTGGTTGTCTTCTTTGTCCAAGTCGTCCGTCTCAAAAAGTCTTTTGGCATCACATCCCTGAAACTACATTAAAAATAATATCACTCACATACAGGCATATAACATAATATTATTTAATTTCTTAGTTATATTAACTGAATCAGGTTCAAGGTCAGGGTGACTTGGTGTCACGGTTCAGTTCCAGATCTGGAGTGCTATCTGAATGGTCTCTCCATGTCTGTGTGGTCTACTGTAGTTTCCTCCCACAGTTCAAAGACATACTGGTAAGTTAATTGGTTTCTGGGAAAACTGTCCCTGCCTGTGCTGTGAGGGACTTGTGTCCCAGCGACGGTGTACCCTGCCTTGTACCTGTTGTTTGCCAGGACAGTCTCTTGATTCCCCTGCGACCCAGAATTGGAAGAAGAGGTTAGAAAATGCATGGATGTTCAAGGTTCAATAAAAAGAAATCGAGGGTGGAACTTTTGAACTTGAGCAGACTGCTGCTTGAAATCAATTTCAAAAGTAGTGTTACCTCTTGTGAGAAAAATAAAGTAAATTTGGAGTGTTGATGTTTCATTTTGTAGGGTAAATCAGTACTAACATAGCCATATCTGACAGGTCGGTATTCTTAATTTCTAACTACAGTATAAAGTTAAATCAAATTTACTCAGCATTTCCTATTTTAACGGTTAATAACCCAATTCAATATTGAGGGTGCTGTGCAAAACCCTAGGTTTTGTCCAATAGCACAATGTAAAAGATCAGAATATAAACAATTCGCAGTAGTTTTGCAAATAATCCTAGTTACAAAACGACATAGAACGCAAGTTAAACCAACTATGCGTTTGATACTGAAACAAGAAAAATAGACGCAAGAGTGATGGCATATAACTCTGGTCTGAATATTAAATAATACAATATTCCCCAAGGGTTAACCAGGGTCTCCTGGTTACTGTATGTGATAGACAGTGGGTGGAAAGGTCAAAAATATATTTAATGCATTTGATTCAGGCAATTAACTCCATTACAATGAATAAAGAAACAGTAAACAGTACACCCTACCTTTCTTTTCAATAGTAGAGGCTTCAGTAAAAACACGTAAAATAGGGTTGATGTACTGATTCCAACAATCACTCCAAAAACGACGGCTACAGTTAGCAGCAGCAGACTTGGCAGCTGTAAGGACTCGACGAATTCAATAAAAACATCACTTGTACACCCTGTTAGACCTTCCAAACCATCCATGTCTGGCTAGATGTGTTCCGTTTTCTCCATCCCACTCTTAAGGATTTCGTGGTTTTTACGTTTCCCAAGGAGACTTCTCTACGGCCTCAAAACAACTGCTAGAATTAAAAAAAAAAAGTAACCTTCCTGTCCTTGCAATGCGGGTCTCTGTCCTGATGACTTCCTAAATTCATAAAATGTCTGCGTATAAATCTTCAACAGATGGAAAAACTTCAAGCATACCACCCTAGGTGCAACTTTGTACAGTACCCCCTCAGACAGATCAAATGGATGCAAAATTGTGAAAGTAACGTATTTTTACAGTGGTGCAAAAAAGTAAATAGAACACCAACTACTCATTAACTACAACCTCCAGCAGTTTTTTTTTAGATATACGTGAAATTATTTATTGTGTGACAGGTCTCGGAACCACTTACAAGGAGAAAACGTAGGAAAACTCTCACAAAGAAATCACGCCAAAGCCAATGAAATCCTGATGGAGGCGGGATTTCAGGAAGTTTGGAAAGTTGTTCGGGAGTACAATGGGAAGAAAATACGATGTGCAAGTAAATGTTTGACTTGATCTAGTTCAAGGAGGACAGAATTTCTTGGTTTTAAGAAAAGGAAATCTACTAAATATGAATCAGTTGAGTTTGGAAAAAAGCGGTGATTTGTTTCTAGACTGAAGTATTCATTTCACATTGTTCTAATTCAAAATAACGGACGACTGTAAAGACACTACATGTCTTTAAATAAAATGTTTCGCTTTTGCAACCTTATTCTTACAATGTGCAATTATTGTACTAAATTAAAACGAAATGACTATTAATACGAATGGGAAATATATTGCTGTCGCTGTACTATCAAAGTACGTGTTAATACATGTATAGTCATCTACAACAAATCACTTCTGATTTTTTATTTCGAAATTAAAAATTGACGAGATATTAAACAATAATACATTTTTACCTCTGTAACTTAAATAGACTTGAGGTGAGTTTTGTTTTCAAGAGAAACTGATGCTGTTTCGAGCAATAACAGCAGTGCTTTGCATCGTAACCGTCCAAAAGGCAATGTGCAAGGAAAAATGGGCGACACAGTCCTGCTTATTTAGTTCTGAAAAGGTAAGACTATATTATATACGTTTCTTATACACGGTATAAGCTTGAACACTCAATGGCCATTAAGACCGATTTTCTAAACGGCCTGGGCCTTTAATTTTAAAGAAACCGACTTAGCTATAGTCAAGTTCCTTTTATGCTGTTTGTTGTGTTTCTGTCTTTATTTGTGCATAAAATATACGTCTGTGACTTTGCATTAGTGAACGAATCCTACTGAAGTACTGCATTCAGCAACTTGACTCCTGCAGTCAATGTACTATGTTTTATTTCTTTCAGGTGCTGAATGCTGGAGCATCACTGTACACACAGTCAGTGCACAGAAGATGGCCTAACTGTTCCAAAGAACCTGAAGACCATGTTATCTGGAGTTGTGCAGGTTCATGCTGTTGTATTTTGATACAGTTGTTGCACTCCAAAAGTATTGGACCAGCAAAGTCAAATCTGTTACTATTACTTCATAGTCAAGCAATTTGTATTTGTAGTTAAGAGGTTAATATGAATGATACAGTATTTACAATATGTTTTGTATTGGTGCACTATTTCATACATTTGCATTCAACCTGTGATTTTTAGTGACCATATTAGGACACATTCACTTTACATTCCAGAGTGTAAAGGTCAGTATTTACCTGCATATCTATTAGATGTGTGACTAAAGTAGGTGTAATCATTTGATATGGTTTGGTGCTGCCACTTTGATTTCTTGCTTATTTATGGTATGTTCAGACCTTTTATTTTCTTCATGATGTAAAATGCATACTCAGTTGGACTTAAATCTTGATACTGACGTGGAATAGGAACTCACACTTTCTACGTGGCTAGTTCATGGGTCACAGATGGGCAAGTAATTTTTTTTGGAGCATCTGCAGTCCTTATCATTCTCTGCATCTTAACCTTTCCATCACTTCAGTAAAGGATTTGTCTTGGTCTCATCTGTTCATAAAACAAATTGTGAAACATGGTAATGTTAAGACCAGGGCATACACAGTCACCTCAGGAACTGATTGTTCATATATCTAATGATGGATGAAGAAGAATTCTGAAGTTTACAGAAGGATTTTGTTCGATTATTAAAAAAAAGTGCTCATATACAGTACTTATTGAACAGACTTTTTGAACCTATTAATGTTATTTCATGGTTTCAGGCAGTAACCTTAAACATGCAACCAATACAGCTAAGGAGTTCAACAGAGGAACAAAGTGGAAAATCTTAGACTGGTCAAGTCAGTTTTTGTATTTAGGACACTCCAAGAATAGGCTAGAGCTCACAGTGGCTGCTGCAAAACATGTTAAATGTTTATACCAAGAGTCTGGGGAGCTCAGTGGGCTACAGACTTAAGTAGTTATTGCCCCAAAAGGATATGCTACCGAACACAAACTTTACACTCTGAAACTTGAAGTTTACGTATGGTCACTTGAAATCACCAGGCTGAAACAAAGTTTGTTTTTGTTCTTCAATGATCAAATTTATACAGGGAACTACCCAACAAGAAAACGTATATAGTATTGTACTTGTTCATAGAATCTCATGATCACAGGTACACATTGCGTGACTGGTAAGCAAAATACAAGCTTTCGTTTTTGGTTTTTCCCTGTTCAGTCCACATGTATTAAAAAGTAAAACAGGGGAACACGGTGTTTTGGCTGTGGAGCCTTCTTTAGTCCTGCACGTGAGCTAGACAAAGAACAAATAGAGGCTAATTTCATTCTGAAAAGTAAGAACAAAACAAAAGGTAACAAGTGGAAAAACACAGTTGGAAATGTTTTTCCCCCTTTTTCAGCATGGAATTAACCTCTGTTCTTGAGTACCTCACATGCTGATGTAGTTCCCCACTTTTACCATCACAAAAATATATAATATAGAAAATGCATAACATTTTAAAATAATGAATAAATAAGGTACCACTAGATGAAACACCCATCTGTTCTGTCATTTTCAGGTTGTGGAATTGGCTACTAAAAAACAACTACTCTTGGTCTTGGTCTCTTTAACATTCATTTGAGTAACCAAGCAACAGGTGGTACCAACAGTGCCTCAGTGTACTGAAATACTGCAAAACAAATCTTTAAACCAATCAGGTTTTGTTGTGGGACCTTCACTGATAAAGACTGCTCTTCTAAACATCCCAAGGGAATTGCTTAAATGTCAGTACCCCAAGAAGCCTTTTCTTTGCCTTGTGATTTAAATAGTCAGTAGCACTGCAGTCCAGTATTTTTGGTATCCTGAAATGATGCTGTTAATTAATAAATATGGGTATTCTCTGAACTTCCTGCCCTGTAGGGTTGCAGTAACTCTGTTAATGAACTGTTTGTTAGATTTCTGCTCTATTATAGAATTAGAAAGGGTAACTCTGTTTTGATTGTAGTGGTTGTTGCTTAATTCTGCTGTGTATTTCATGAAGTACAGAAAGTATCCACCCCCTTGAGCAAGTGCAGTATTGGTAAGACCTGAATTTTCAATGCTTTGTAATTTATTGTTTCCTGTTGATTCACATACAATGTTTTCCATTGCATAACAGAAATATATGAACAAGATCTTGTTTACTGAAGTATTCATGTCTCCAAGTCAGTGCTTACAGAAGAACCTATTGCAACACTGACAGCCTTGAGTGTTCTTGGGTATATCTGTCTCAGCTTTGAACAACCGGATTAGGGATTTGTGCCCATTCTTTGCAGATGTGCTCAAGCTCTGTCAAGTTGAATGGTGAGCATCGGTGACCTGCAATCGTCAAGTTCCTCTACAGATTCTCAATGGGATTCAAGTCCAGACTTTGGCTGTACCACTGAGGAACATTCACTTTCTTGATATGAAACAGCTGCAGTATCGCTTTGCTTGTATGCTCAGGGTCATTGCTCCATGCATTGTTTTCTTTATCCTGACAACTGCTTCAGTCCTTGTTGCTGAAATCATCTCCCTAAGATGTTGCTGCCATCCCCATGCTTCACAGAAGGTGTTGCACAGGTGATGAGCTGTGTTTGGTGTTTGCCTGGCAAAGAGTTCCAAGTTTTGTTTCATGACAGCAGCGAGTCTCTGGCGATATGGTCTTGGCGTCTTCCATGTACTTTACCTTTTTGCAAGCTTTTCTTTGTAGTGGCTTCTGTCTAGCCACTGTCCCACAGGGGCTAAATATGCGTAAAGCTGCAGACATTGTTGGATTTTGGACAGGTTCTCCTATCTCAGCCATGGAACTCTGTAGTTTTATTAAGGATGTCATTGGGTTCTTGGCCACACCTCTAACCAAACTCCTTCTTGTCTGGTTGCTCAGTTTGGGAGGATGTCCTGCTCTAGGAAGAGTCTGGGTGGTTGAGTATTTTTCCATCTCTTGATGATGGAATCGACTGTGCTCCTTGGAAATTTCGACACCCTAGATGTGTTTTTATCTACCCTGCTGAGATCTACTGTATACCTCCTAACCTTTCTAACATGGACTTGATAGTTGATACTCTTTGGTCTTCATGGTAGAGTTTCCGCTCTATCATGCACTGTCAAATGAGTGAGCTTATATAGACAAAAGTATTTCTTCTGTAATCTTGTCAACCAATTGAATTGAACACAAGTGGACAACTTTTAGAGTGATCTCACAAGGGAATTGGATGCACCTTAGTTCAGTTTGGTGTATCATAACAAAGGTGAATAATAAAATCAAGACACTTCAAATGTTTTATTTCAGTTTTGCCATTGTAGACAAAGTTGTGTTGATGAGTGAGAAAACATCCCATGTAAATATATTTCTATTTGAGTTTGTACCATAAATTCAGAAAAATTCAAAGTTGATGAATTCACTGTTTTCTCTGTTCACAGAGAGAGGACGTGGCACTCTGTGTAGGAAGCTAGGAGAGACTCCAGAATATTGTCCTGATCCTTCTATTGCCTCATCCGCACCAAGTGATCCCTGGAGCCATTCATTGTTCAGTCTTATTAGTTCCTTTAAAGATGGTGTTCTCTACTGGATCAGAAGAGAATCTTCGCCAAGACACAAAAAAGTAAGTTTTCTTGTCTAGGATATTCACATATTTTTGTGGACTTTATTTAAATCTGTTGAATCACAGAATCAGAGAATTAATTGATTCGCATCACACTCATTAATTGTTTTCTGCCCAGGAAACTGAAATCTTTTATGTCCTAAGTAATAAAAAATAAATGTGTGTAGATGTAAGTCTATGAATGTGGTTCTCTGCCTTCTCTAAATAAATTTGTGAATCTATTTTGTTTTGTATAAACTTTCAGAATAACTTTGTGTCACATATGGGATTTACTATTGCATGTTTTCTGTGATTTTGATCATGAATATCAAGTGTAGGTGTTACAGTATCCAAATATTTAACATGGATATGTCTTTTGATCTTTTTTTATTGTTTTCATTTCAGTTTCATTGATCTGTATCGGCGCTGTGCCTGTGGCAATAGAACTTCCAGCATTTCAGAAACTGAAAATCACTTTCAGACTAAAATGCTGAAGTACTGAATACAATGACTCTGTTAATCATTACTTGCCTTCCATGACGTTCTGTAGTGCGATTGGGTTGTCAACTTTTCAATAGGAATGCCTTTCCAGAGTTGTTAAGCGTTGATTTCTGGTGTAGATGGAGCAATTACAAAGGTAGCATCCTGGTGAGCAACATCATTAAGAATGATTCAAAATGAGTGACGTTTCAACTGACCCAGGTTGTGTGAGAATGGTGCTGGAACAAATCATATTTTGACTTGATCCCTTTTTGGTTCCAATTAAAAGGGGGGGACGTACTGCATAAGCTCTTTACCAGCCCAGTTCTGTTGCATCTCTAATGTTCACATGACTTAATGAGAATAAGAAAAATATAGAATCTGCAGTGGCAGAAAAAGTTTATGAAGGTTTAGGATTTTCACACATTTGAAACCTTAAGTCTTTATTGGTATGTACAGTATCTACTGATAGACAGTTAACCAGATGAAACAAATCACATAAAATATGATACTCTTTCAACATTTATTTATCCTCAAGTACAATATGCAGTATCTATCGTGTGTGGCAAAGTATGCGAACCTTTTGATTCAGGAATTGGTGGGACCTCCTTGAGCAGCAATAAATGCATCAGTATATTTCCTGGGACCTTTAATCAGTCTCTCACATCAGTTTGAGGAATTTTGTCCTACCTCTCCTTACAGAACGCCTTTAGCTCTTAGATTTTAGTGGTTGCCTTGCATGGAGAGTGCAGTCCAGGTCCTTCCACAATATTTGAATGGGGTTTTGGTCTGGACTTTGGAAAAGGCCATTGTAAAATGTAGAATTTCTTCTGGAGCCATTCATTTGTTCGTAGGTCTGCTTGTTTGTTTAGGATCATTGTCTTGATGCAAGACCCAGTTTTGATTCAGCTTCAGGTCATGGAAGGACGGCCTGCCCTTCTTCCTGAGAATTTTCTGATACAGTGCAGAATTCAGGGTTGTGTCAGTTATGACAAGCTGTCCAGGTCCCGAGGCAGAAAAGGCAGCCCCAAACCATCACACTCCCACCAGCATGCTTCACGTCCGTGATGTAGTTGGGATGAGGCTCTTCTGTTGATGATGAGGTTCTTTGAAAGCAGTGTTTGGTTATCACCTGCCATAACATTTTTCATTGAGCTGAAGTTCCACATTTAACTCATCTGTCCAGAGAACATTGTTTCATATTTAGATTCGATATTTTTTTGGGATTCATGAACATTTTCTCAGCACTGTAAACGTCCTCTCCAAATTATTTTTTTCTACCACAGCCTCATGTACTGTACAGTAGTTTTCATTTTGATCTCACTTTAAGGAGCATCTGTGAGTATCCACAAAAGTATGTAATTGACCTATTTGTGACCTTTTGTTTTAGATTCGAAGTCTGGTTAAAGCTCATACATTTGGTCTCACTTTTCACAAATGTGCACAGGTAAGTTATTTTTGAGTGATGCATTTTCTAAATATAATGATTTAACCGATATAACATCAGTGGTTTATTTTCATTGCACGTGAATTGGATTTTTTTCATTACTTTTGATTTACAAGCAGTGATCTTGTGCAGTGTACTTTTATGATTTATATGTATGTACATTACATGCTGTTATTATGTCCACGTTATCCTGCTTGTGACCAATAATTGTTATGCACATCAAATAAAGGTCCCATATTGATAGAGGTTTATATTTAAGTAATGCATTTAACTTTTTGCCCAAAGTTTTCTTGTTTCATTTACTTCAATACACAGTCAGTGTCAGTGTGCTAAAAATTGTACCGTTATCCAGTGCAGTGTAGTCTAGCTTAAGAAACTCATGCTACTGTATTTCCTTTTTTGTTTCCTAAAACCAGGTGGATGTAGGTAAAGAATTCCCCACATTGACTATCATTCTGCTGGTCAATAATACAGCTGGTGCATCAGCCTACAACCTTTCTCAGCTGAGCATAAGGGATGCAGTTGCAGGCCTCACCTTACTGGCAAACGGTGGAAATTTGTTGGAAAGTGGTTTTCAGACTTTTACCACAGACTCTCTGACAGGTAAAAAAATACCAGGTTTCATGTAACTATATATCTAGTTATATATGTTCTCCAATTTAAATTTTCCATTGTTTAACCTTTTCTGTTGCAGCTTTGAAAAGCCTTTATTGCTAGTTTGTTTTTCATCCTTATATTTTTCCTCACTCATACAAGTTCAAATGGGCAGTGGCCCAAAACTTAATATGGACATTTTTTGGATCGAACAAGAAGAGAAGCTTTTTCAAAAATCTGTATGTCACTAAACAAAATTAGCTATTCTGGGAAGCTCTTGTCTGATCTGAGTGGATATAGACATAAGATGTTCATGTGTGTTTGTGTGTCTGCCATGCGATGAACTTGTATTCCATCCAGGGTGTCCCCTGCTTTGTGTCCATTGCTTCCCTGCAACCCTGAATTAAAAGAAGCGGTTTGAAAATGGATGGATAGGTGCTAACACATGTTGCTGGAAGTACAGTATATTTTGTATGGGAAGTTCATTTTACAGCTGTTTGATTTGGGAAAACTCCAAACTAAGTTAAATAATATTTCTGGAGAAAATAATCCATATACTGTATAACTAAAGGGTTAACATTAAGAGGGATTTGATTGAGTCCTTAATTTCTGCTTTTTATTTTCTTTGTTTTATATACAGTACAGTACACCAGACATTTTCCCAAAAACCACTGAAAGCACAGTTTGTTTTATAGGCTTCTTGTAGATTTCATTTAGATATCTCTACAGTATGTCCTTTCAATGTTATAAGTAAGAGTTACTGAAAAATAGAGAGCGAATAGAGAGCAAAAATTGCACTTTTTAATCTCATGTTTACATTTGGACACAACATAAAATCTGTATTTGACCTACAGTATGCACCCACATATTGGCACATTAAAGGCTTCATTACAAATATTCAAACCCTAAATCTTGACAAATTCTGTCTCCAAGTTTTAACTCAAAACATGAATGTTTCGTGATGCTAATTCTAGATTTAAATGTCATTTAGATGACTGTAAGTCTACCCCACCATCAGGCCTTATAATAACTGCAACCACACCGATGCTTTAAGCTAAATGCACCCTAAAAATCAGACTGTGACTCTAAGCCTTTTAAAACTTATCCTGAATTGAAGTGGATGTCCAGTTTTAATGGAAACACTGATCATAACAATTGCTGTCAAAGCTTAACCCCAGTCTGAACACGTGCTGTACCCCCATCTTAACTGGAGTCTAGGCTTTAGCTGAATTAGTCAAAATCGTATTCTATAAGAACTCAGGCGTAACCTTAACACTCATTACCCCTTCAACAGTAATTCTAATTTTTGACCTCAGACTTAAATACATCTTCTTTCTCTGACTTAAACCTCTAAAGTTAACGTTAATTCGATCCTAAAAGGGCCCAGTATATCAAATATTCAAAATGTGGAAAAGCTTAAAAAAGTGTTTTAGTAAAGGTTTAATCCCTATTGTTCTTATTTTCAGCTGGATCATGCTACACGGTGAAGTATTCAGCCCAGATGAAAGGAGAACAAAATGACATATTGTCATTGCCTGCCTACCTGACATTTTCCAATGCTTCGCAGGTAAGAATGTTGTGTATTCATTTATTATTAAACAGATATTCACACACTGTAATACTGCCTTCTGTCCAGTGTAATATACTGTAAGACTAGAACTGCCTTCTTCCTTCCATTGTCCATCCTTGCACATTCCCCTGCAGTTCCTGCAGCAGTCATCATCCCTGCTCGGCTTGCTACTCAATCCACTGAAAACAAACTGCCCTTTGGCTTACATTTTTTTACGCCCCATAGAAAACATGGAACACTGTGTCCCCTTGTGCTCTCTTCTCTCGCCCCCTATTCCACAATCCCCACTTCTGGCACTCTTTCTCCCTTCTCTCTCGTCTTTGTGCCCTGTTTCAGGCTCTCAACCCACTGCAACTTCGGCTTCATGTTGCCCTTCCCCACTCCTCCTTTCCTGCTCTCCTTGTAGGAGCCCTTTTGGCGTCAGTCTGTCGGCACTGCTGCCAGACTCCAGGCTCCTCATTCATAGCCCTCACCACCCCCATGCCAGTGGCCTCATTGCTGCCAAGGTTACGTCCCTTCTCAAGCCCCACGTCCCACCCTGTCTTCAGGTACCCTTAAGGACCATTGGTTTTGTTGCTGTTTTTGGAGGGGGTAGCAAGCAGACTTGATAAGCCAAGACGCTTGCCTTCAGCATTTCAAGTCCACTATTAAGTCTTCGAGTCTCTTGTCCTTGTTACTCTTTAGTTAGTAGTTACACTCTATTTGTTCCTGTACCATTTCTGTAACAGGCTGCCATACAGTCCACCCTCATCTCTGATACTCTTTCGGGGTTGGTGCAGTATTTTCCAATGCCCATGGAGCAATCCTAACTCTTTTATGAAATCTTGGATCAGTGTTCCCCTGAATCTTTCTATATACTGTACAGTATCTGAACCTTACACATCACAAACTGTCATTGAAGATGTTGCATCTATGTTATGGGGTTCCTTTAATATTTGGGTGGGGGCAGTCAACCTTATCCTCACTGGCTGGCTGCTGTTCCCTCAGCCAGACAAAGTTACGGCAAATAAACCTTTAATAAATTCCAAACATTCAATACTTTTTGTCTTTTTATTGCATTAATTAGGATTTGGCAGAACCACTGAATTCATAATTACAGAATGCATGAAAAATGAATTACTAATTAAATTTTATGTCTCATTTCTAAATAGGACTTTTCAGTAATTCAGTGTGATGATTCTACAGAATGCCTTTAGATCGTTTTTACTTAAAATGTCTCATACCATACTGATATTACTAATATTTGTCTACAGATCTATAATGCTATAGTTGACACATTGTTGTATCTATTTTTCTTGTTATTTTTGCTCTTTTCTTAGAATGACATTAATTTATTTGGTCCTGTGGTTGCGAATTTTACCCTGAGGGTGAATTCAACAGCAAAGGTAAAGTGATCTCTTTTAAGTCCGGTCTAGAAGCAAAACCTATTATGCTGACACAAAAAGCGGCACACTGACCTCTTAAGAACTCAGAATTGATTTCTGCTGAGTAATGTAAACACTTGTCATCTTTATGAAGACATATTTGATTAGGTAGGGCTTTAGAGGTTTGATTAAAATGAGCATACTGTATAGACTGAATTAAAGGAATTATAACATTTCTATATTAAATAAGTTTTTCATTTTATACCAACCCACGCAATTTGGAATTGCTTTACAGTTTGGCTTGCAGCCATGATCCCTATACCCAGACAGGCAGAGTACAGACATAGTTAGCCATTTATCGTATGAAATGCTGGTGGCTCTGTAACGACATATGAAATACAGTGCTAACTGGAGGGTAGACGTGTCCCTCACTGTTGTCAATGTAAGCCTAAAGGTTCTTTGAAAGTGATAGCCCTTACTGTTTTTGCTGGGAGCTAAGAGAACTAATCCCAACCCCTTCCTCAGTGAAGTTATTAGGAGGAATCCCAGTCATTTGGTTGGTGACACAACCCAGGCTTGGACAGGCAACATCTGAATCATAGAGCTCGACCAGCAAGCACTGTGTCTTCAGTTTTTAAAGTTTAGTTTGTCAGTTTTTATTCACTAGATCAGTGAGCTTTGCGTATGAGCTATACCAGTCACATGCACGATAATTATGTGACAAGAACTGTCAAATGTGTGAGTATGTTTTGCAGTGCATTATTTTTTAGTATTCTATCATATTATTTTAGATGTGTCATTAATTCCGACTTTATGTTCCTGACTGCTATGTTTACAGTGGTTCAAATAGTTTTGTGATACATTCTTAACATAAATTAGTAGATTCTAGTAAATGCAATTTAACAGGAACACCAGAGGGCAGTGTTTTATCATTTTCATCATTTTAAAATTCATATTCTTGACTAGCTTTTTTTAAATTGAGTGTAAGGTGTGTAGAATTTTCCTTTTTAAAAAAATAATCTGCAGACTTTCAGTGGACAATAATAGTATGGTTCACATAAAATGTAATAACTGTAATCAGAAATGTAATGTGGGTTAGTTTCAGTGTGGCATATGAGATTGCTTGAGCTCTTTAACAAAAAAAAAACACCTTTGAGTTTGAAAGATAGTGTGCAATACAGCATGCCTTGCCTTCCAGCTTTACTAGGCCTATACCCTAGATAGACAGTGTGACTGATTACATTCATTCTGAAATAATTTTATTGCTCGGGTACTGAAGGAAAAATACATGCTCAAAAATATAAATTAGACTTCTAACTCCTATTTTGCTTTTGTACATGTTGCTTAAGATGGTATCTATTTGCATGAGTGCCTGCAAATGCAACAGAAATAATTATTTTGCTACCTCTCTGTTTATTTTTTTCTCCAAAAGAAAATATTGAGTGAAATATTAAGATGTAAACAGTTACCTCCTAAAAATATTTTGGACCAGATAATTTTGATGCGCATCATACTACAAAAGAATAAATACATAAACATCCAGAATGCATGGACTTCAGATTTTTCACATGAAGGGCATCTTCTGTAAATTGGCAGAGTGTAAAATGATTCTCCTGCTTTCAGTACCTGAATGAAAAAATACATTAATGAAGCTGCTGAATTAGGTATATAAACTATGGGTTCATTCATCGATTCAGAGTCTAATCGTATCCTCTCTTTAGGAAGATAAACATTTTGTTTAATGCTTGATTTTCTGTATTTTAAGAGTCCTCTCTGAAAATGAGTGCTGGGAATCGATTCTTCTTCTGGATTATTTCTCTTAAACATTTAGAATAATAATGATAATGTCTCATGTAAGGTCTGTTAAACAATGCAGGCCAAAGTTCATTTGACATGTTGCTAATTAACGTATTTGATTTGAGAATTAGGCTCAGATTTATTTTTTCTAATCAGACTGTTTTTCTGAAGTTTTGCACATTATTTTGTATTATATATACTTTGTTTTAAATATGCTTTTTTTGTAAATTGAGTTGATTGTGAGAAGCTATGCTTTCCTTCTGATATTGGCATTCAGAGATTCAAAGCATCGAGTAGGTACCCTCAGCTATTTCACTAACCACCCTTAAAGGCTTCCAAGTCTGATAAAAAAAAACATTACATAATGTATTTTGTGATGCAGCATATAATATTAACTATAAGTGAATTGTTACCTAGACCATTTCTCCACATTTCTTTGCTTGATTTTATCCTGTATTTTTATGTCCAAGCCTGATTATTTTTAATTGGATCCTTTTCAAGGGATCTCTCCTGTTCTTATTTTTTTCCCTGTGATTTTCTGTTCTTTTGAGAATGCCTATTACCTCTTAGCATTTATTACTGAATTCCACATGACTAGGCTAGTGTTCACATCCCAATGTCATTTCAGTGTGTTTATTTCTTGCTCATTAAGGAAGGGTTGCAGTTTAACATCAGAAAAACTGAAAGACCTTAAATCTTAAAGTAGCATCAACATGAGTATCGTTACCCTGTTCCTGAATGAAATCTGTCTGCCAAAATTTGTGTATACTGTACATCATCCTCGCTGTCATTCCCCACAGCCTTCATGCTGATGAACAAATAATTATAAATTATATCCTATGAGAGGAAATGAGTGATGATACAGATAAAAGATGCCCCTCTTTACAATTTCTATTTATTTAATTTTTTTTAGGTTTCTTCAAATCATGGCATCCACTTTGTTGGCTTCTTGGTGGGATTCCTGGTTGCCTCCATTCTTATGACTCTGGCTTTCCTCCTATTTTCTTGGATTGGTATCCCACAAATGTCTTGTTGTAAAAGAGTAAGTATAGTTACCACATATTTATAAAACGGATAGTTCTGGTCCTAAAATCTGATTGGCTGACACACTTTCGTAGCCGTGCTATATTCGCTTATATACGAACACCCAGGAAGGACTTTAGACTTTTTGCTATGTGATAAAGAAATATCAATGCGCTGACCGATAAATTATGGTCAATCAAATCAATCACGTAAGCTTTTAAAGATGACTTCTTAACGTAGATAAGAAAGCTTGGATTCTCAGGTATTTTATACATGTATCTTCTTCTGCTGTCCTTGTTGGGCTGTTGAGGATCCTTGTGATTTTTTTGTGCTCTCGTTGAATGATAATGTCCCATAGTTTAAATCATTTTCATTCTTTTAAATGATCAAACGCTCGGTTAAAAGCAAGGGAGATTATGTCTGTTATAGTTATAGCGAGAGTTCAGTGTGGCATTATTGGAAACCCAATTTTAATGACAAAGCGCTGGAGTGATATCCTGACAGGCGATGAGACCAGCGCCAGGGAAAAACAAAATGCCTGACGAACTAGGTACTGGACAGCTTTTCAATGGTTGTACGGCCTCTCCTGCCTTATTGCTTAAATATATACATACGGTATTTACTTCTGGACATTGTTCAAGTCTCTTTTTAAAAAGAAAATTGGTTACCTAAACAAAAAGGACAATTTTGATTAAACCCCTAGGAAAAGCTAGTGCAAAACAATTACATAAAGCACCCAGGTTGTGTATGGCCTTCTTGGGGGGAAAGTTGCACAATTTCAGGAGGATTTCTGGAAAGACCCGCCAGTGCGTGAGGAATTAAAATTGACTCCTTTGGCCAAATATTCTTTTGAATTGATTCTGCTTGGCATGGCAAGATTGTGAGCCGTAAAATCTGTTGCATCATTTAAAGATGGTATAAATTTGAAATAGGGTTATTTAACATATCCTGGCATGAGCTCAAGCCTTAATGCCAAGAAATATCTGTGTGATGTATGTAGTTATTTGTGCCTGGAGATGGAACAGACTGAGCTGGAAGGCTGTCTTGTCATGGCTCCAGTGTTTCTCTTAAGATACGAAGCACTAGGCAGTGGTAAAACAAAAGTAAAGCATTTTTCCCGTCAAGACGGAGAATGCATTTAAAATTCAATGTGTCGAAATAATGCCTTTAGATTTCAGCCAACAATTCTGTAATTTCGAAAAAGTCTGTAGTTATAACTGGAATTACCTGGCTTCTGGAGTGAATAGAAGAAATTGGAGTGGGGATGCCTTCTATAAGAGTTTAAAGGTGAACAGAGTGTTCATTGTTTATAATATAAAAAATGGTTATTATAGATACTCTGTCATTAAAGTCATGTTTTTAATTGCACATGACTATGTGCTTCCACATAATTAAACTTATGCCTCCAAATAATTAGCTTAATTGACCTCTTATCACCTTCAGCTAAGTAAAGGATATTTTCCACTGGTACTATTCAGATATCGATTCATTTCTATTGACATTGTAATGATCTGTTCAGATACTGTAAATGTAATTTTGAATTAACTTGAACTAAAATTACTTAAAAACAAGTAAATAAGTGGGTATCAGACAGCTCTAGTACAAATAATACAACAATAGAGTAAAGGACCCACCTGATAGCCTGTTTAACAGCACTTAAGTCTGCAGCATCACAGTTGGCCTCAATGAAAATATGGACATCTTTTATAGTCTTAGAAATCCATTTTGCAGGGAACATTGTAAGTGTCTTCATGAATGTAAGAAGAATCACCCTGACAATAGCATTTATTACCATGCTATGAAGTGTGTATTGGTTGTGACCTCCTTCAAGGATTGGATGCATGTTTTGGCTGCTTTTGTTAATGATGTCTGACGTTACAGCCACTGTGTGTGTTTCAGATTTTTAATTGAATCAGTGATGGTTGTGATATGTTTATTCACAGCACTGGATTCTACTTTTCTGCTCCCCTAGGGGAATCTGTAATATAGCACTATCTCACTTTTGTGATGCTGCATGTAACAACAGGAATGTCATTGTTTTATAATCTGTTTAGGGCAAGATGATCATTTTAAATCATTTGAGGATCAAGAGTATATCATTTCTTAATGTTTAAAACAAAATGTAAATTAATTTCTGAATTACCATTGTTGCTCTAAAACAGTCTCTGGTCACACAGTGTGGTCAGATGTCACTAGCAAAGGAAACTGGATAGAAGACAGTGGCAGAAGTATGGCCTCTACAGCAAGCTTTTACATTCTTTACCTTAGATTATTCTGCACTGTTTTCGTCTGGCCTCGGGTTGGGAATTTGTGTGTGTGAAATGTAGTAAAACAGAGGCAAAACAGTGGAAAACGTGTTTCTTTGGTTAACATTGTACATAACCGACAGATTTTTCCAGACAACAAGTCTGACTTTAGTTGCCAGTGGGAGGATATGAATAAAACATTTGAGGAGTCGAGTGTGATGTAGCAGATGTAGAGATGTGATGGGACCAGTGGGCCAGCAGTCGAGAAACCTCTAATAACCCTTCACTTCTGGAAAATTCATGGTAGAAATTACTAGTTAAAAGTAAATGCATGTGTACACCACAAGTGCACCAAGGTGGTCCAACATCAACACATATTTCATTTTATTGTTAGTTTCTAGACATGGAGTGTCAGCAAAACTAAATATATGCAGACTATTAGATCCAAAGGTTCAATTTAGTCATATCCCACTATTTCATATAAAGAATAGGCCTATTTACTTTTCAGGTGGTGAATTCTAAGCATGGTGTATATAATGGGAAGTAACAATAGAATTCATGAAAATGTGTGCTTCCCCATTGCACTGTTTCCACAAAGAAGTGAAAAAATGTAGAGGTGAAAAGACCCAATATTCATCTAGGATGCCAGAGAGAGAGTGAGAAGCTGTATTCTCACATGTTTTATTTTGTGCTCATGTCTGGTCAATTACCTTATCCATCATTCCTAATGGTTGCACTGGCTTTTCCTTTCAGAAGAGGAGAGGTGGTCTTTCTGGGGACACTGACCCAGAATATGCAGTGTGCAACGTCAGTGAGACAGCCAAAGAAGAGGCAGCCTTTGAGGATAAAATTGTCGACATTATGATCTTGGAGGATCCTCAAAACATGTACCAAGCTTTAGAAAAGTAAGTTTAAAAGTTCATTTCATTTTATGAAATTATTTAGATTATGTATTTTGATCAGTTCTCAGTTGTATTTGAATTTTGTTACAGACGTATCATGTATTTGTTCTTTAAAATGATCTTGATTATCATAAGACTAGGATTGTTAGCCTCCCTAAATTTTCCCCTTAATTCATATCTCTTCTGTATGGTGGTTACTGAAATTCTTTTATGGATGAAATGAAGTATGTCTCCTTCTTTATGTGAATTGCACCGAAATTTTGTGAATATTGTAAGAGGACCAGGGGAAGGGTCATTTAAAACCGGTATTTCCGAAACGAAACACTGAATATACTCGATATAGACCTGGGCAAGATGGCCGCCAAAGATAACCAGCTGACCCGCTGTTGGAAAAGGCCTATGCAGCGAAACAAGGAGAGTTTCAAAGGACTGCATGGAATTCATTCCATTAAGAGATGCTTAAAGTTCCATTTAGTTTAGAGGAGAAGCAGTTTGATCCTTAGGGTGACAAATTAGTTTGTTTGTCCGTGACTTTTAATCTCACTGATTTATCATTCATCTAATATTTAATCAAAAATCCACGATGAATGTGTTCTTCTGTGAAAGCCGGTACTTTGAACAGCAAAGTGCCTCTTTTAGTCTGACATTTTGTAATCTGCTTTGCCTACAGATTGGCATTAAATTTACTTAATTTCCCATCTACTGAGCACCAAAACACTTCATGCCTACATTATAATGTAGGAAGATTATTCAAATCATGAATAATTAGATTTAAACATGATACATTGCCAGGGAATCCTTTTGACTCGTCTCTGTAATGTTCACTGGAGAATTATCTGTGCTTGAGAATTACTGTGTTAGTTGTGAAAAATTAATTTCAAAATGATTCATGAGCTGCTAGAAATCGAGTTATTGTGTTGTTGCCATTATACATTTTATGTTACACAGGGTGAGAACATTCCAATTAGCTTAATTTTTCATACTAATAAGCATGCAGAGGTTCACAAGGGACCATTTTCAGTTCCGTTGGCTATATCAGATATGTACTGTACCTTTCTCTATATTTCCTGAAAGTCTAAAGTATTGCAGGTTTTTCTGAGTTGTCTATAGCTCCTTTACATTAAAATTAGCTCCATCATAATCAGAGACACAAAGTTCATTATAGTCAGCAGAATGCTTGAAAAATTTAATTCCATAAAAAAATAAATTTTTGTGTGGTGACCTCGTGACATACTGTCATTTAGAGACTATTAGATGGCACCATAGTAGATACGAGCCTGTCTATGCCTTTTGAGAAGTGTGACCTCCATGAAGTGGTTATTAGTCACAACTCACCCTTCCAGTCCACCAACAAGTTGCTATTCGTTCAAAGATTGAGGTCCAACAGGGAAACCTAATTCAGATGTATTATTTGAAGGTTTCTGGGTGTCAAGATTCTTGATTAAATCTCTCTAAAGCAGTGGTTCTCAAACTTTTTCAACCAAGTACCACCCCTGATCAAACCAAAGCATCCAAATACCACCTACAAGTCATCTTCTCATAGGAACCCCAGAAAATCTCAATGTCCAATATGAGCGCATGTGTGCACACATTCGCATACACATATAATAAATATTATAATAATAAACTTTATTTGATATAGCGCCTTTAAAGGTGGCTTCTCAGAGCGCTTTACAGAAAAAAAACAGGAACAACAAATAAAAATAAACAATAATAAAGCATCATTTCAGTGAGAGGGGTGAGCCTGTTTAGTTGAGCAAAGCAGATGTGAAGTCATTTTTCGAGCTTGGATACAATTCACAACAGAGTCTAACAGATTTTAAATTGTCAGGCATTTTCTTGACGGCAAAGGTCTCACGGTCGATGTTGCAATGTGTCCATTCATTTCTGGAGAAACCTTTCTAATTTGTGCAACTACACTGCTGTTTCGGCTTGTCATTCCTCTAGCACCGTCTGTACAAACTCCGACGCATTTTATCTAGTCGATGCCATTCTCTTCGATAAATTCATTCAGAAGCTGAAATATGTGCTCTCCTGTAGTTCCTGTTGGTAGCGGCTTACAGAACAGAAAGTCCTCATGGGACATGCCCTCAAACTCGTATCTAGCGTAAACGAGGAAATTGGCCAAATCAACTACAGACTCATCTAATTGCAGTGAAAAGCATCTGCTCACCTTAACGCGCTCTGTCAGCGTACTTTTGATATCATCCTCCATATCAAGAATTCTATGAGTGACTATGTCTTTCAGAGGGGGCAGCAGGTCATGCGTTTAGCAGCTTTTTCTCCACACATAATACGTGTCAGCTCTTTTGCCAACGGTAAATAAAGTTCCTCAAAAATAGTCTACGGCTTACTTGCTTTAGCTATCCGCAAGCTTGCAATTTTCCCCGTTTCCTTTTCAGGAGTCTGTTTCAGAAGTTAAAAGAAGTTTTAATTTCATGCACATAGGAGCGACACACAGAGACTCTCTGTGTATTTTTCTCAAATTAACCTAGAACAGTTCTTAAATATGTTTCTGTTACTTATCACGCTTTCCTGTGCTCACAAAAGTACCAGCGTTCGTAGCACGCATTTCTATGCATTCTTGTGTTTACAACATTGACATTGTTCCAAAATCACGCACATTCTCCTATCTCCCTATTTGTTGTTCGTAGCACGCATTCCTATAGAATGGTATAGAATTACATTGTAGCTACGTGTCCACTCAAGTATTAGCGTGCGCTGTACCATAGTAGTAAATGGGCTGCATATTCGACACGTATTAAAATAGAAAATATGAAAACCCATCCCGATTTTTCAGTGCACACAACAAAATTACAGGGTCATATGGTGTACCAGCAGGCAGCGCTCCGCGTACCACTCCTGGTACGCATACCACAATTTGAGAACCACTGCTCTAAAGCATGCTCTGCCTTGGTATTTTCCCCACTGTTCGTGGGGTTCTTTAGTGGGTAGAGAGCCTGTCTTGGATCTTGGTTTCTCTTTCCTTTTCAGCTTCTCTTTCACTTGATTTCTCGGCTTGGTAACAGTCTTGACTGCCGACACACTGACAAACCGTGCAGTTCTTCAGTGTCTTAGACAACTGCTTTTCACTCCCTAAACCACTCGTTTATCTCACCGTCAAAATGAGGAGAACCTGCGAGTGGGAGTGGAGTTTCATCATGTGGTATTTTAGATTGCAGTGGTTAGCATTGCTGCCTCGAAATGCTGGGGCCCTGGTTTCAATTCTGGACCAGGGGTCCAATCTGCATGCACTTGTATGTTCTCCCTTTGTTTGCGTGTGTTTCCTTCAGGAGCTCCTTCCTTCAACAGTCATACTGGTTGGTTAATTGGCTTCTGGAAAAAAATTGACCTGGTGTAAGTACTGTATGTGCGTATCTGTGTTTCTGTCTGTGTGTGCCCTGCAATGGACTGGCGTCCCATCCAAGGAGTATCCTTCCTTATACCTGTTTCTTGTCAGGATAGACTCCAGCACCTCGATGACACCAAATTGCATTAAGCAGTTAGAAAATGGCTGGATGGATTGTATTGTAGATCCAGAGTCTTATCTTTAGCCAAGCCGGGTGAAGCACCAGGGCATCTAAACAGCCCTTGAGAGGACATTTCCTCTTCCTCCACTAACAGAACATTTGGAAAAAACAACAAGTTTACTCTACTTATTTATATTTCTGTTCATCTGAACAAAAGGTTTTTGTGCAAAATATTATTTAAAAAATTCCTTTATAGTCATCTGAACATCACAGAAGCTTCCTTTTCATTTTCATTCACATTTATGCACACAAACACGTACACCAGACACGGAGATTATCTTGTGTCTTCTAAACTAGTATACCTGAAATGATTATGCTGTATACTATATACAGTATATAATAAAACTGAATGTTTTTTGTTTTTACTTTCTATTGCAACCTACTGTTTTTAAGTGATTATTTATTTCTCTCTTCAAATACTTCACTTTTTAAAAAAGTTTACAATGAAAAGTTCTTGCATACTTAATGTCTAAAGCCTGCTATGAGCTATGCTGTACAAGTGAAGTGATAAATGTAATTATAAACCTGTTTTAATAATCCTGATTGACAACATCTTCTCATTTTGAATACTGGCTAGATCAGTCAGAGCATAACTTTGTAAATTTCTTCAAAGCTACCTAATCACTGGTGGAAAAATCACAGTCTATCTTATTTAACAATGGAAGTTAGAATTAGTACAAATAAAGCCAGGACAGAAAGGATTGATAAGACTCACACTGAGCCTAAATCCTCTGCTGTTCACCTTGGGTGTAAATGTTGTGGACAGTGATCTCCCAGATGTTTGATGTGATAAAATATTGTAATTTGACTTAATGCTCTGATGTCTTTTTTTCTGCATGATTTTGTAGGGCTTAAAAAATTAAATTTCACTTTCTATTACTAGTTATTATTATTCCTGTTATTTTTATATGCTTCAGTCAGCCAATTTAATGAGTTCAAAACCCCCAGATCCCTGCAACTAGAAATAACCATAAAAAATGTTCGGAGGTCTTTGCATAATTTAGAAGCGACGCTTTATTTTAGTACCTAAGGAGACACCCCTAGTGATCTAACATTGAAGCATTTTCTCAGATGGATCATACTGCTTATTTAGGATTTTAGAATCACAGATTTTTAGCAGAGTTACCCTGAAAGTAAAGTAGCCTGTGTCCAGACTCAATGATTGACAAGTGAGAACTTAATAATTAATAGCAGGTGTTTTTGGTATACTTAAATTTCAGTCCATTTGAAAGAGTCAGTTATGTAATCCCCACCTTCAGATTCAGACATCAAATTTATTGTTGTAGTCGATTCCCCTGTCGATGGATTTGCAACTGAAGGTAATACTTCAAATCCTTTTTGAAACCCATCTGACTGCCCTTTAAACTTGTTAGTTGTAACACTTGTGGTGTAGAGATTAGGACTCGGAACTTGTAGCTCGAAGGTTGTATGTACGAGCCTGGATAAGACACTGATGATGTTCCTTTGATAAAA